ATCGATATAACTAAATTAACGGAAATCAATAAGTATCAGTCAACTCATTGTATCAGGGTAGGAAATAGAGTTACTGTGTTACAAATTTATGATAAAACGATGCCATAAATTCACTACTTTAGGTAAATATTCACCCCTTTTTTATGTACAACATAAATTTGAACATGCATTGTAGTTTTTACAAACCAAAAACTTTATCAGTCATGGTCTTTTAGAATGTTACACGCTGTCAAATTATACATATTATAAACACTGAGAAGTGAAGAGTTTATCCACATAAACATTAATTCATACAATACTCGTCAACATCGTTTGAGCGCATGCCAGATCGGTTTGGAATACATAAAGTTGCTACGACGCGACGCGACGCAGCAAACATAACATAACAACAAACATTAACAATAAAGACAGTAAATATAACATACATGTAGATATTTATAACATATTTTCTACTGGCATATACTTATAACATCCATAGCTTTCTACGAATCGTTCACCAATCTGCAGGGGTTGTTATTGGAGATGTAACGAATATTCGGTTACTATTCGGTATTTGGTCCATTCGGCCAATTTTCAGTATTCGGTACTAATCGACATTTGGTCCAATACTGAATACCGGTATTTAGTTATAATTACACTTTGTGAAAAAAAAACCTTAATAAATTATTTTGAAAGGATTTTATTATTACACGAACCAACATTTATTTTCAGAACTTTGCAAACTAATAATCAAACTTAATTATTAGTGAATTATGATGATGATAGTGTGAAATTACAGTATGGTGCAATGCCCCTCCCCGTCACTATAACAAAGAGACAAGTACAGTAGTGACTTGTCTATGGGTCCTAAACATAAAAGAACTATAACTGAGGCAGAATATTCGGTCGCCGAATATTCGGCGCTTCTGCCTAAGACCTCACCGAATACTCGGTATTCGGTATTCGACCAAAAGTACTATTCGTTACATCTCTAATAAAACCCCTCCTGCACACAGAGGCTCAACTGTAGTGCAGACTTCGAACCTGCAGATCGGGAAACGTTCGTAAGTGTAACACATACAGGGATGAATATTTACCTCACGGACTATACAAGATTGACAAAACATCGGGATGAATTCTGTACATAACCCTTCATATTCTATCACCAGCCAAAACCCAACAATTGAATGTGTATAATCGCTTTGGAAAAAATCGACAAATAAATAAATTCTCTTTAGATTTACAGGGAATAATGTGAGATTTGACATTATAACGTGTGTGTTCTTTTGCCTATTATCTATACTTCTAAAAGTAATATCGATAAACTCGATAATGTTCAAATTCAAATCGAACACTCGATACTGCCACTTCGATAGTCACTCTCGATATTATTGAAAAATAATTAATTACTTATTTACCGACTAATTGTACACACGACCACAAAACATTGAACAAAACTAATCTATACATGATACAAATTACGAGAGAATACTCGATAAATAAACAAATATTATTTATATCTTATAAATAGACCTTTATACAACCGAGGTTATCAGCTCCACCTAACCCTCAGTCCTCGGTTTTGTCAGAATATTTGTCTAGCTGAGGGCAATAAGAGGCTCTACAAAAATCCTTATTAAAATTGTTAAATGTTATCTACAAATACTAAATTAAGTCAGGGGATTCTGGTGGTTGAATCACATCTGTTATCCTACACTCGGGTTACAAAATCTTGTGGACAGTGTGACTCTGTCGCGAAAATCTAGGCTAGACCAAAGTGTGTATGGAAAAATATATACTATGTATTATGATGGCTTCTAAAACTTAATCTCCAAGCACAACTTGAAGGGATTTCACTACGATAGTCTGAAAATGTCGCACTGAACAAACGACTTATTGAAAGCAATCTGAATTTTATTTAATGTTTCAAATTACATTACAAAATATGTTTGGGGACTAAATAATTTGACTAAAGGGTCCTAAAGATAACTACTTTCCCGCACCCTGCTAGCTTAGTTGAAATTATGAAATTGCAGCCATAGAAGAAACTTTAATATGCTTAATCGGGTGAAAATTATCACTGTAATACATGTTATACTGTCATGTGTGAAGCAAGCGAATCTAGTAACTTATCTAAAACTAAAATGTATACCAAGTATCGTAAATGACAATTAAAATAAGATTGGAGATCATTCCGACACTAACATTGGTTTTCAAATTGGCAAAATCCAAGTTTACAGTAACTTAACATTTTTGTTTGATACGGTATGAGTTCTAAATACAATTTACAGAAAATAGATGCATTTCTGATGGAAGAGTATTTATCTCTAAATTTGAATACTACAACAGTTTGTGCAAAGGTTCTTCCATTATACTGATATTAGAGGCTCAACGTTCAAAAAGTATGTCGGTGAAACCTCTGGCTATTCCTCGTGTGGCTCTTTAAATTTTCTCTCCTACTTATCATATCATTAAATATATCCATCCGTAGTCAAAACTGTATTGCCTTGAGTAATACAAACATACTAACAAAAATGAGGTAAAACTTTTTACAAGAATCGTTAATTCATTAGAAGCAAGTTGGCTTGGATTGAGAAGTCTCAGATTATAAAAAAATACAATTTAAGAGCTTGAAAAATAGACAAACTATTTATTGTTAAAAACCATTCTGTATTTGAATATAATTAGAGTATCTAATTTTAATGATCAAATCTTTAACCTGATAAAAACTGATATGTTTCTAAAGTTGAACGCATCAGTTATTGACCATTTTCTCTGAAAATGATTGTTGTTCAGTGTCGCCTTGTTACTCTAACACTTGAATTTGTCGTAATGTTTATAGCTGGTCTTAACCAATGTTATGAATTAGATTTAGAGGGCTTTTATACATGAGTCTGTACTCCGAATATATAAATAAACAGTAAGACTTCAACTGTTTCCCAAATTAATTGCTCATCTATTACAAAACTGCAAATAACTTTATCAATTAGGCTCTGCTTGACAACTTCCATTGAATGATTTTAACTCACATCCTCTCCCCATTCAATGGAACATCTAATTTACAGCTACATGTATTGAGCATTTTTTGGCTTTACGACTGAAAACATCCTCAAAGACAAGCAAAAAATACCAGTGTGGATAGTAAGAAGAGATTGTTTCATAGATTTTGATATAAAAAAGAGTATACATTGTTTTATTTACAAATCACACTTCAAAAATGCCAAAAGAGAAAACAAATTCTTTATATTTTGGCCCCTTCAAAGAACATTACTACTGATTCTAAGCTAATGCAAGATGTAGGTCTAACACGATCACTGAGAAAACACTTGCGCATAGTCTCAGACAATGTTTCTAACACCATTGACCCACGCACGAGTTTTGTCGCCCGGACCCTCTAAAGTCGAGTCTGATGTGGTAGTGGGAAGATCCACAATTTTGGACATACGTGAAATTAATAATTTTATAAACTAAAATGTCAAAATTAAAGTCATGGGTGACAAATACAGTTAAATTTGTAACTTACCAGTATCGAGTACACTATTGCAGAACAATTTAACCAAAATTCTTTTAACAAGTACCATAAATATTGGATGTATAAAATGATAGAGACAGCCAAACGAATAAATGAACCCAGAATGAACAATTATGGCATAATAATTAACATATAATTATGGTAACTGGAAAAGATTTAGTATAAATTGAAAACATATGTTCGTACAGGAGTCCTCAGTGAAAGTGTTAACACCCTTAAAACACAAATCGGTTATAAAACTAGTTTTTGAAAGCTGTGAGAACTGTAAGTCTAAAATTTTTCTCAATAGCTATGAGCTGCCAACGGTAAAAGTGGGTCAATAGTTCTTGAAGTTTTAAATATTTAGCGAATGTTGTACAGTTAGAGTTAAAGAGATTTTAAAGTTTAACAAGCCTTTATTGGATAGTGGAAACGGATTCCCAAACAGCACTCTTTATTATAAAAATACATCCTTTAAGGAATAACGGAGTTCATATTCTAATGTAAAACTAACTACAAAAGTAAAATCAGCAACATTTAATAAATTGTCTATATGAAAAGGTTTCAGAGGAATTAATTCACTTCAGTTTAGCATTTTCATAGGTGCGCCAGATCAACGGATTGGTCTTTACTTGTACATCTACATAGAGCAAGAGGTTTTGTAAGTGGTTCGTCAACAGTTATTGCACTAAATAAGTAATCTTTACTAATAAACATTTTAAAATGTATTATAATTCTGAGGCTTATACCGCATGTCTTAATGTCAATGACTCAGATGTTTACCTGTTATGTAGGGGGTGCTTGTGAAATCTTCTTATTTTGTTACACTACATATTATTTGATTTGAACATAAAACTTACCTAAGGTGTGTCGAATCAAATTCGTGGATCGCCTTTTAACGTTTTTTATTCAAAAGCTACCTACAAGCTTGAAGTAAGTTTGGTATTTTGGCCAGACTGGAGCAGTTTGTTCCAAGATTGTTTCCTTAGTAACTTATTAGTCCAGGCATCCTCATATAGCTCTTATCATTGCAAAAACAAATTTCAGTTTTGCTTACAGTTGTAGCAAATATGTAATATTTTTGAAAATAGAAATTTATATCTTTAATTATTTCCTAAAGTGAGGGAGATACAACAACCATGAGGTAAAATTAAAGCACCCCCTTTAAAAGGCAAACAGCTTAATCTTCCATTAAGGATAGTATATATCATGCAAAATATTTTTGGCATGTGGGAAAGTGCTAAAACAGTTGTTCTTATTTTTTATAATAGAAATAAACACTATTATAAAAAATCAGTAAGAAAGTAAAATAAGAAATAAACACATTAGAAATTTAGATTAATACCATTTTAGATTTCTTTAACTTAAATAAAATTGTATGTTGACATACAAGTGAAGCGTCCATTTTGCTGGTATCTTTAGTATGATTGTTGTTTGAATAGAATGTATCCTTAGTATTATTTAACTTACAATAAAAGTAATATGTATCAATAAGTGTTTGTTTTATTACTCGTATTTTAGCCACTTAAAACTTCAATAATGAACTAAACATTTTTTGTTTCAATATATACGTGAGATTTCTTTTCCACCATAACTTAAAAAGGGGACTTAACGACAATTATTATTTGAAATGAGATTGGTATTGTTAACAAACATCCATACTTGCTTTAGTCATTCAAAAGTAACATATTAATTTATTATTATAAAAAGAATATTTGCTATTTTCGTATCCTCTCTGCAAAACTGAAAGTGACTCGCAATTAAATTGTTTCTATTAGTTTTACTATCGTAACTTAACCAATAGGAGTAAACTTTGACTTATTTTAAGTGGCCAAAGCAAAAATTAAAATATTTTATCCAGCTTTCAGCCTTTCAAATCAAACCATTAAAGCGTTTGTGCTTCACATTATGATAGTTACCGTAACGAAACATGTATTAACATCTACATAATTCGACACAACATTAAACAATAAAACATTCATAACACACTGACATAAATGAACAGATTCTACTCAATGAAACATTGTTAGTTGTGTGACATAGACGGGATGTAGGTTAGGTCTCCATACATAGCTGAGCTGAATACGAGTGTATCACATGCACAGCATTCTACAACTACCTCCGTTTTACGGTATCCACATATATCGTTCCCGCCCCACGTCGATGGTAAAAATATAATATTTTAGAAACTCGCACACTTTATAGTACAGCAACCGTTCCTCAAAGAAAAGATTTATAAAATAAAGCAGGTAAAACTCTGCCAGTTTAACTCTATCTTTGTGTCACAAAACATATCAAAATAATTCGCATGTACAGGCTCCTTCGAGAGAAAATAACGTGTAAATATCCTATTTCATAAAAGTGTAACTTTACACAAGGAATGCTTTTACCACCAACAGATACTAAAATCTCTTTTACAAACTAGACTTAAACACTGATGGGTCGAAATAAGTAGAGTTTATAAAAATCCTCACTCGAATGGTCAAAGATGTCCCTGCTTGGTTCGAAGGTGGAGCAGGAGTAGTCTCTATCTCTGAATAACTAAACATGGTCATACTAAGGGGAACATCAATTCATGCCACTGAAGCGAGTTAGTGCCTGCCAACAAGAACAGTATAACAGTATAATATCAGTTCAACAATAAAAGAACAAAATGAACTTTGCGGATTCTGTATTTGGACACTCAATTTATGTGTCGTTGTGGGTAACAGAATCGTTATTAAAAACATTAAAAGTATGAATATTTTTAAAAGATCCATTAAAATGTTTTACTAACATGAAAACCCTTCAATAACGTTCTTTACGTTTAGAGTTATGTAGGAGAGTTTGAGAGCTGGAAATAATAATTGGTTGTTAGTGTCTAACGATCTGTATGGTACTTGAAATTACTTTGAAAAGATAAAATATGAGGAAATCCCCCTCCTAAAAAAAAATGATCTGCTAAATAAATCTTTGCTTCCTCCTATTATAATCATGAAAGTCAACAGCAACTTAACTAGTAAGAACTTGTTCTTGATCATATTCATAAACACCCCTTTCTTTCACAGCACAACTTAGCGATAAAAACACTGTACAAGTGTTAATCTTCCTAAACCTTCCTTCCTACTCAATCTTTTTAGTTGATAATACTGTCAGAGAAACTATGGACATTTTCCCACTCAGGTAAGCCTTCCGTCATTATAAAAGTACTAAACTTGTAAAATATTAATCAAATAACTACAATGGACTCACCCTGAGACGCGCTTACTCTGGTTTTAGCCGATGCCATTGCACAATGGTTTGGCGGGGTTTGGTAATCATGTCCTGCCAATGCTTTGTCTCCGATGCACCAGACCCGTTTTTGCCTGTTAAGAAAATATATTTAAACTCTATGATACACAACATATTTTTACAATTCATGACACTATTTAGGTTATGACAATTATAGCTTTGGTTTAAAAAGAGTATTGCAACCCAAGTCTGTGAACTTATTTTAATGCAAAATGTAATCACCCATATATGATGATGCCATTCTGTGCTGCTTACTTACTTCCTGTTTACAGGAAGGATTTATGTCCTATAAATATAAATAGTTTCCCTTTACTTAAGGTATCCAACTTTACCATCTCATATCTCTATATCCTGATAATTAACTTATTGCACAATAAATTCCTCACATAGTGACATAATAATAAACTGATACACATGAAATGATTTAAATCTACATCAGTCCAATAAAAAACATGTGAATGACTGTTCTCTGTCTGTTAAATAAGCATTCCAGATGCTAATAAAGTGATTTCCATTAATATATAATGATATACAACAGTTAACTGTGTTCGCGGTAACTATTAGTCCGTCAGTCAGACCTACAATTAGTTTGTCGATTGTCTGTTGTTGTTTAGTAATGAATAAACAGTTTGCACAAAGTGCAACTGTGCACAATTGTAAAGTTTAAAGGACATCTTTTGTGTTCAATGTTGATTTACACTAAAAATGTCTCTCTATGTTAGGAACAAAAGTTACATAGATTTACAAATTTTTGTAATACATTGAGTCCAATATGTTATTCTATAATATATCCAAAATATATTTAAAAAAATTCCGTTTGAAAATTTATCTGCAAAAACTACGTACCAGCGAGCAAAATACGGCCGATGAGTTCATTGCGACCAATATTGTCAAAATCCATGACCATGATGTCCAATGAACATTCTCTTATCTTTTCCCAGGGCACATTGAAGCTGAAGTTCTCATTGAACACTGGGTTTAGGGTACATTTAAAAATAGGAGTCTTACGCTTCTCAATCCTTTTGTCTCCAAACTGGAGCCAAACTTTCACATAGGGATCTGAAACAAACCAAGATGAAGGAAGTGTACTTTGGTTAAAGAAATCAAAGGTATAGTTCATAATGGCACAAGATTTTGAAAGGTTACCTGGTTTTCATCTGTAAATATTTATGATTGCAGTATATTTACATTATATTCTTTAACCCTTAGTATGCGAAATAGCCTATGTGTGCATATCGTGCATATCTTTTATACAAATTAAAGAGCAAAGTAATAAGTTCAAATAAGACTGATAATATACATTTGTACGCTTATTTTACGTTGATAAAAGACCAGAGAAAGGGGAAAAAGTTGTAGTAGTTGAATTATAAGTAAACTTATTTTGTAAGTATACTCAACTAATTTTGAAAGTAGTTGAGTAATTTATTTTCGAAAACAATTTTCTCTTTGGTTTCTTTTCGTTCCGCACCACAACTATTTATTTATAGTATACTTAATCATGAGCTATACTAAGCATGAATAATTACTTTCTTCCCTATTCAACCTCAATGAAATGACGGAAACACTGTTAAAACAATCTAGTATTTTATTTAACAGCTAAAAGTTAATTATCTCTTAACTTTAGCTAAGAAAAATCCGCAAAAACACAATTACAGATATCTACGACATTTACGATCTATTTAAAAGCAACAAATTATGGCAACCCTTTAGTGTTAAATTGCTTTGACTGATGTTTAAAACAGTATATTTGAAATGATGAACATAATATTAAACTACAAATTTAAGGTGTGTAAGCTATAATTTAAACCTCTTACACATTCATACTGTTCACTTTCAATTTTCATATTGTTTATTTCAATATCAAAATAAGTTTCATTGACTTTAAAAAAAGTGTTATTATTGTCATCTCTTTTAATATCTTTGCTTTAATATTTCTGATTTATTTATTTAGCTATACAGGGTGTTTCCAAATTGTATGGACATATTTTGTGGACATGTTACTTGGGCTAAGACAAACATTAAATGCCATATAAGTATGGGTCTAAAATGCCTAGATTTCTGTTTATCTGTTTGTGAATTTTTAAAATTATGTTATGTTGGGCATTTTTTAAGATAGAAATTTCAAAATTGGTATAAAATTGTCATTTAGAAAGTAAATTAAGCTTAAAAATTCGTTTCAATATCTCAAGCCGTTTCAATATGGCGGCCATTTAAAATTTTATATGCCAAATTTCATGAAAACTGAGCTATCCGTTTTTATCTATATTCGGTTACGCAATTTAAAGGGGCTACCATACTGCTCAGGACTACTAAGTTAGGTTTATTATAGTAGGCCTATTAAATTGCGTAACCGAATGTAGTAAAATAAACTGATAACTGGGCTGTTTGTCATCCCAATTCGTCAAATAAGATCTCATTTGATTTAGATTTTAACCCTCTATATTTTTGATCCTAAAACAATTTTCTGAATTTACGGTTTTCATGAAATTTGGCCTTTATTATTTTAATTGGCCACCATATTGAAAAGGCTTGAGATATTGAAACGATTTTGAAAGCTCTTTTTACCTTTCAAATGACACATTTATACCAATTTCTATTTGAAAAATGCCCAAGCTATAAAATTGTTTAAAAAAATCACAAACAAACTGACAAACAGAAATCTAGGCATTTTATACCCATACGCATATGAAATTTTCTGTTTGTCCTAGCCCAAGGAACAAGTCTACAAAATATGTCCAGACAATTTGGAAACACCCTGTATATTCTTAAAATCTATATGGCTCGAAATTTGAAAAAAAGGTGATTCAACCATTCATAAATTGGCGTTATCCCTGATGAAATATACTGCAATGATTCCAGACTCTCAGTTAATATTTGATTAGGAAGTTGTTGTTGAAACATCAAAGTGTTGAGTATTTATCTTATTGCTCGGTATTACAGAGTAAGTTTCTAATTACCGGATTTTCCATTGATGTCCTTAGCCTTGAGGTTGCGAGCTTTCAAGAGAGTTAGGGTGAGAATGCTGTTGCTCGGGTGGTAGCATAGAGAGGTCAACAGTTCCCCACACTTGTCTTTAGCTGGGGGTTTCAAAGCTTTCCAGAAAGAGGGTTTCTCAGAGAGATCCACCTAAGAGTAAACAGACACAAAGGTAAACCTCAGAACCCACAAGTTTGAGGAGAGTTCACCGCATGTTTATGTCAGAGTAAATTACTAGACGACAAGTTTTATGGTGTACAACGGTGGTTTAGAGTTTAAACATGTTTAATTGAATATTGGTATGATAAAGGGTTTTTTTATTAAAGGTTGAGTGTTTTCAAATTAGAGTTAAAGTTGCAAACATGTCCTCCAAAGTTCTTCTCAAGCCGATAAAATTAGCAGGACGTTTTAAAAACAACTCCCTACTTTCAAGGATGATTAAAAAGACACAACATACAAAATATTAAATTTATGAATAACTATTATGCGAAATCATAATGCATTTTAGTTTCTCTTTAGATGTTTAGACGAGTAAAACATTAGCTCTACTCATCAAGATGATTTGTACATTAAGCGATATTCCCAGGTTATCCTGGGAAATAACACAACTATCCTGCAATATATATATATATATATATATATATTATAAATATATATATATATATTATCCTACAAAATATCGCAGTATGCAAACGGAGTTTTATGGGGTGAAAATTGGGGTTTGTTTTCCCAATTTTGAACAAAAAATATAATATTTCTTAAACAGTTTATAGATTTTGAAAAGCAATTACTTTTTTATGTTAGATAGTTTTTTTTTATACGTGTTATCAAATTTAAGGAAATAAGTAAAAATAGTCTAACATCACTTTAAACATATATTTTAATTTTACTGTTAACTTACAAGATGGGAAATACAGGGTGGTAATAAAGTCCGAAGACAGTTGAATATTAAAAAAAATAATGTACATAGAGCTACAATACGTGGTACAAAGTTACAGAGCATAAAACTTTATCTTAACACATTTTCAGTGATACAATAACTCTTCAGGGGGACGGCCCACAAGGAGTCGGAAGAAAATCTTAAGTGGAAGCATAGGTCAATATGCATCAAATGAAAGGTATTTTTAGTAGAATACAATGCCGCAAATCGCAGTTCAAAAGGTTGATTCTGCGCAAAATGGCAGCCGTTCAAATATTTCTTGAATCTGCCATTTTTTACTCAGGCGTTCAATTGAGCTTAAATTTACGGCATTGTAATCTACTAGTGAAGACATTTAATTTGATGTGCATATCGACCTATGCTTACGTTAAAAATTTTCTTCCGATTCCTAGGGCTGTACCCCCTGTGGAGTAAGCGTATAATAGCGATGCAAATTAAATGAATCTTTGAACAACTGTCATTCTTGGCTCGGTTGTCCGTTTGAGTTCAAGTTTGCGGCATTATATTCTGCTAGTAAAGACCTTTAACTTGATGTACATGACAACCTATGCTTCTATTTAAGATTTCCTTCTAACTCCTTGCAGGGAGTCCCCATAATATGACAGAAAATTGATATTTCCTAAAAAAAGAAGATTTTTAGGTGTGGTGTTGATGTACCAAATCTTATTCATTTATCTGTTGTCGTTAAGAAAATATTTAACTGTATTCGGACTTTATTACCACCCTGTATTTACAATAGATGGTGATTTAGTGATCGATTGCAATAATTAGAAACTCCAATCATAATCAGACCTGATTAGCGAATGACTAATCATGGATAAATTCACTTGATCTGCAGGTTAACTGTGACAAGAATTTGCTGAGGTATTGTAACAATTTACTCTCAATTGAACAATTTTGTATTAAAAAACATCACTGTATGAACCGATTTTAAAAGTCTACGATATACATCGCGTTGTATACAACTGAAAAATTGAACTGTTACCAAATTTAAATAAAGAAACTAGATAGGCTACATGTTCGCAACTTTACAAGTATTTTATGATTGATTAAAAGTAGGAAATCTTTTTCAATGACTTGATTAATAGGCTATAGTTTGGGCATGTAACTGTATTTGGCTGAAACAATTACTCTTATACAATACAGTTTAGAAACACATGACAAAACAAATAAACTTAATCTTAGAGACCTCTTAAACTTTAATCTTGCCACCAACATGTCCAACTTTTCATTCTGCCCACATAAAGGGCAAAGATGAATCCAATCACTATGATGAAGCGAGATATTTGTCGATTTTCTCTAAACATTGAGTTTTCCACCTGTACTTCCTGACGTTCATATTGTTCATATTGGATACACATTACGTACTTAATACAAAAACTAAGGTTAATGAAGCAGAAAGCTTGTCAAAAATAAATGAATCCCATCTACAAACGTGCCTTAAGCCCAGTTTGCTGAATTTAATCCTGAGTAAGGGGATTAAGGTATTGAAACTGATGACTCAATTTTATTAGCGATTTGTTATAAATGCGGTGGAGAACTATTTACATTCAGTGTTGATGCATCTACGTATTTTATCCATAAAATCGTTTATTTTAAATCAATATTATTAGAATCCAAATAAGAACCAAAGTGTAATATACGCGTATAAAACTTCTGTAATCAGTTATTTAAATGATTGATAGTGTTAGACACAGTGTAGACAAAGACAATTTTTAACTAATTCATCCTTTTAACAATTGTAAAGTGGCTAATAACCAAACACAAATATTATTCGTGGTTTGCAGTTCGTTTTTTTTTATGCTGAGTCAATATTATTAACTTAGTAATATCAAATATTTTTTATAAACTAAACTTGTTTTAAATTGTTACTGTGGAAACTGTTAGTGTCAATTTATTACAATGGTTATAATCCACTTTTACTTTAACCATATTGGGATTATTTAATATTTACATAAATTAATTGTACATAGATGATTAGCACAATCATCGTGCAATATACTAATCACTGTGAATACTAATTTCATTGATCGTCAAAACTTGTCTGGTTAAGGGAAAATGTCATGCAATCTATCAAACTACTTATTACTTTAGTTATGAAATTACTTTTCAATCCAGCCCTTTTAGGTCAAACCCTGATATTGCATATTGACTGTATGGTAACCAGGAAGATATTTATTGACTTTTGTGATAGTTTTTTTTTACCCTAAATGTTTTTAGGTTCATAGGGTTGTCACTTTATATCCGTCCGAACGGTTTGGAATTTAAGAACTTAAACTAATCTGTATAAGAAAAATACGCATACAGTATGACTATGCTTTATACTTTAATACTTAATAAAAATGCGTTTTGTATATCTAAATAATTGTTCATCACATACCTGGCATAAAGGCAAAAACACTTCACCAATGGAGTCATCACGAGAAAACCGATCGTAGTCAAAAACGTGCAAATGAAGTACTCTACTCTGCAACTTCTGGATGGGAAAACCTGTAAATTAAACTGAATGAGTTTCTGAGTTTCATTGTTGCTGCACTCACTTACTAGTGAAGTCTAAAGCTTGTTTATTTTGCACATTTATTAGTACCCTATTTTAGCAGATAATTTACTATATAGAAAGGTTGCTGTGACTGAAGGGTTATGGAAAATCTGAAGGCTGGTATCCAAACAAACGAACTGGCTTACCAGGTAAAGACTGAGCTACGGGGTATAATATTATTTGACTTTATTGTATTTTTTTAACAACGTCTTGCAATTAACCTTATCAAGATACAATGCATTGGTTTTTATAATATGGTTTGAATAACATCTTTGGTTCCATCCGCCCCGAGCAGCCAGATTCACAAGCTAACTGTGTGGTACAGGTGGAGCGATCTGTTTAAATGTACGGAAACTACTTGGTCAAGCCAAGCACACAGAACGTTATTTGATACAGCTTGCTATTTAAAGGGGTTTGTAGTCAATGGTTTTATTCAGATTTTAATTTTTCGAACCTAATTACAAAAACGAAAAATCATTGAACGAATCAAAAATAAATTGTTCATCATAAACAGTTTCAATAAATATTTAATTTAAAAATTAAGTGTATTTATATTCGTAAAGACACACATTTCAAACCAATTACTTAGAAGGATTTTTATTGAACTTAGTGGAAACAAGACCTGTACAGTATATGCCTTCAATGGGAATAAAGAATATACAAAACAGATAACAATAGCCATGCTATTCTTAATCACAAGGCACCTCTCACACGTTTCAGATAACTTAAATTATCTGTACAACTATGATTCAATACTGATTATCCTACTAAATAAATGATAGAGTAAATTAAACATGTAAATCATGTATACAAATATTACCATTCATTCAGTAATTTTACAATCATTACACTATTTATAAGATAATGTGCCATTAACCTTGATGGCAATCAAACCATCATCCTGGGATTATTAATAATTGCTTGTTTTCGCAGCAATAGTAACTTATACGAATTTTTGCTGACGAAAAATATAATCTTTGAATTTGGTCTGTATCAACAGTACCAAAATTAACATACAAATTATGCACATTAATTACTGTGTTTTGTGAGGCAACTCTTATGTTATTTTATCAGGGTTTCTTGTGTGACCGTGCGTGATTCCCTTTTTGTGCAAAACATTATTTTCCATTTCTGTAAGACCACAAGCTATTCCGTCTGAATTACTAAATATTCTTCCAATGGTATAGCATAAAGATGTTTACTTCAGTTGTCACAAAAACTAATATTTTATGGTTATGAAGGGTGAACATCTTATTATTTAAAACGTTCTTATTATAAAAAAGGCAGGTAATCTAGTCTTTAAGAATGTTTTTATGACATATTATTCAAGTCTAAGGTTTTTGGTTAGGTTAGGTTTACACAAGGAACAGGTTTGATTTACAGAAAGATCAGATGGAGCGTAAGATAAGTTACACTACAATGACTCCTCCAGCTATGAATGATGCTAAGTAAACTGGCCAAGAGTAAGATAATTTAATAGAAACAAAAAACACCAAACCTTGAAAATTGTGTAGATACCTGCTTATTGGAAGTCACTTACATAGAAAAACAAAAACTTTCCACGACTAGCTTTGGCCGAAAATTTGATCCAGCTTCAGGCTGTATTTGGCCACCATAATTCCGTAATCTTTTGCTGAGGACTATTATATTTAAACATCGAAACAATGTATAGGCTGTATTGGTTGGTGTACACACAACCAAAATTAGTTGTTGAACACTATTTAAGGGATTACCAGTAAGCAGATGTATACAACATTTTCAATAATCATTGGTAGTTTGGAGGCTATGCTACTGCCACGAATCCTAACTGTGATGTCTTTGATCTCAGAAATCTCAAAGTCACAGGAAACTACAAACCTTCAAAATAAAACGTCTCATTCCAACGAGGGTTGAGGGTGCGGCGCTTGATTTTGGTTTCGAGACGGTGTTTTTTGTCAGGTAGTAACGTAACTCGAACATAAGGGTCCGACGTTCCTGACATGTCCTTTGCAGGCAACTCCTTAGCCTGAACAGAAACAAGAGGCAAGTTAGAAGAGGATACCTGTTGAGTACACTATATCAATATAAGTTTTAGATTATCTAGGATATGTGACTGAGACAAATCCATCGACTGTTTTACATTCAAGCTACACTTCTCAAAATACAAACCTTGAAAATCTTACATTACAAATATAAGATGTACTCAATATAGATTCAGTAATGTTAACTACATTCAAGAGATCTTTTTTCAACCACTTCTTTGGAAATTTAAAATGAAACTATATTCCTCCCCAAACCAGACACCCTAAACGGAGAAATATACTGGAGCAAGTTTCTTTCTTCCTCATTAAAAATAATGTTACATGTTTTCCACGAATATATTTATTTATGTAGTTTCCATTTTTTTTAGATAGTTTCAAGCAATTATCTGTTCTGAACAGAAAAAAAACATGATGGACAAATTGTAACATTGAAAAAGTAATATAGACATAGTGTTCCATTATTAATATCCCTTTTTCAGCTCTAGATTAAAGTAATACTACCTGGAAGTTGATGTTTTGACTACCTACCTCTTTGTCAGAGCTTTGATAGAATGTAATGGATTTGGTTGGTAATTTCATGGTTTCAGGGAATAAAATATTGCTTTTTCCAGTTAATGATATGATGAAAATGTTCTGGAAGGTGGAAATATTTTACAAAACTCCATTTTGTGTTTGTATATGTATATTATTATATACTATGTGTATATGTCGTGTATATGTGTATATGTATATGTCTATATAATGCTAAAATAGAGTTAATTAAACATTTATTTTATGAAATTTTTTGAGACACTTTAATTAAATAAGTAATTAATTAATTCATTGAATCTAATGTTAATTTTAAATGGGTAGGAATGATCAACTTTTCTGACATTAAATAGCCAATAGATGGTGGTTAATCTTTGTTGAAGTTCAATGATGACTCAAAATTGTACTGTAAGTTTTTACCTACTTATCTACAAAACATGAATATTTTAATGAACTGCTCCTCAAGTTTATGTTTTAAAGCATTCAGCAAAGTTTGAAACGTGTTTCATTATGAACATGTTGATTACGTTTGATAGTAGCTTGTAGTTTGTTCATTAGATCAAAGTTTGTGTATTGAAACTTTTCAAAAACTAAGTATTCTTACATAAATATCTAAGATACCTCTAGCAGTAATAGTTTGTTTATTTTTGTGTATTGTAACTATTCAAACGACTCGTACAACCCTTAACTCAAATAGTATTTTGAACAAAGTAGAGTATTCTAAAAAAATATACAGTATATATGTTAGTTTGAAGATAAGTCTGTTAAAGCACATCAACAAGCTCAGAAGTTACTCCATTATGAACACGATACTGTCTGAACACAGCAGAGTGGCAGCTTTCCTTTTAAATGCTATTGTGTGTTTGTCAATGGTTGTTGACGCACTTAATGCAGTTCTTCCGTTTGGTAAAGGAGTTTTAGCCTTTGAAGAATACAGGAAGGTTTTAGAGTGCTTTTGATCTTTTCAAAAATCTATTCTAGCTCAAAACTATTTAAAAATGTACTATCAAGCTAAAACGTTATTTTGTTTTGTTTTTAAATAGAAATACATTTTCTTCTCATCAAAAATGTTCAATTAAGCTGTTTTATAGACATTACAGCAGATGCTTCGGAAAGCACCTCAGTTAAAATGTAAAATTAGTTTCAATATTACAGGATTCGATTATACTCTTGTAGAGTATTAGAATACGGTTTCAAACAGAAACAAACAATTTGAAAATATTATTTTAAGAATAGCTGTCCATTAACAGATCAAATCTATCTAATTATAGGTATGTAACAAGGGGACAATTTTCAGTCACATTACTTCAACCCCGCTACGGCTTCCGCACCATTCTACCAATGTAGCTGGGTAACTGAGTGAATATAATGCTCCGCTGTAAGGGTTGCCGGTTGGATGCCCAGAAACGACATAAGCTTTTTGATTGTTTAATTGTTCTTGGTCATAAGGCCTCTAACAAATGGTACTACCTGAAGAAGCAGCTATTACAATAAGCCTCAAATAAACACAAATGAGGCTTATATCTCGTCCATTCAACGCTTACCATTCACTTACATACGCCTTAAATATAAGGCTACAAACCGTAGTATATACCGGGTGTTTCAAAAATCTGTTTACCAAGTAAGTGTATTTGTTTTAATCAAATAATAAATCAATTTTATTTATATTATAATTTTATTAAAATTGAATTCACACAACATAGGTTTTAAACTGAAAATAATTGTTCAAAATCCTTTCCACTAACTTAAATGCATTTTTCACAGCGTTTATTACGTGTAACAATATTTATGCATAGATTTTTATTGTTGTTTAAGGCTTCAGATTCTAAAGTTTACAATCTAGGTTTTGTGTAAAATCAGATTCAATCAAATTATAATTTAAATACAAATTATTTATTATTTGCTTCAAACAAATGTACTTACTCGGTAAATTTGTAACAACCCTTAGATCAATCGTGAAGATAAAAGGTACAATATGGTAAATATGCATACAAATTGTATGAAAATCATGTGAAACGTTGTGATTATTTCATATATTTGGTTGTATTCAAGCAGATGTCAAGTGATACTTAGTCATATTCACACGGATGAGTTTTAATCAAAACTAATGCCCTTGCTAAATCGATACCTGGAATAGTCCTAAACTTGGCCATATGGAGTGGAAGATATGAGGAAAATACATCCGAGAAGTTGGCCCTGATTGGGTGCTTCGTAGTGAATGTTAATTAACTTATGGAGTTCATGTTTGTGGAAATAATGCAACAAAAATAGACCAATGAAAACTTGACCTCATTGAAAAACGTGGCTTATTTTATTTCTCTGATAATAATGATTCTTCATTAGATTTGTAACTCAAGAGAAATAGAGTACCTTAATACAATTCAGTAAGGGAGCTGCAGTCTATAACAATGGTAATTTTATTCAATAATCGTGTTTTCTTTTTTCTTAGTGAAAAAGAAATTGCATCTTAAAAAGAATAGCGAATTATCTAATATTTACATTTGAAATGAAAGAAATGTACCTGGATGGTAGTTAAAATATAAACGCAATATAACTTAACCCAATTCAAAATTCAAGTAAAGAATGAACGGAACATGTTTAATCTGAAAAGTTCAAACTTATAAGTAAATAAGCGGTTGCTTTGAAATATAGAAAACATTACACAATACATTCACTTTATTGTACCATGCATAGTTTCAACAGTTAGTTAAAGAATGAAAATAAAGTACATCTGTCATTTTTCATATATGTGGGCCAGTTCATCAGACCTAATCCCAAAACTTTTAAAGACATTTTTCTACTACATTCAGTTTTTATGATTACTATCTCCAACTTGATTTACAGTTTTGCATAATATAACATATGATTGTATGTTACATGATGTTTCGTGTGAAAATGTAAAAAAGGTACTTTTTACAGTAACAGTGATGTACACTTTTGTCAGATCTGTATATTTGAAAGAAATAATTACACGAAAAGTAATTCATAGGCTATAATTGTATGACACTGATCAGGATATGGAACAGAAAACTCAAAACAATAGTTTGGTATTTTTACAAACATCATACGTATGTCAGGTTTTATTAATTGGAACTGGGATGTAATATTATTTTGTTTATTTACTATCTTCTACAACAGTTAGCTCATTGATAAAAAATTGAAAACCATTCAACTTTAAACATATAAAGCACAGAAAACTACCCCATATAATAATGTGAGTAACACAATTGTTTAGCAGAGCCAATGTTGTTAAACATGATGAAATGTTCACTATGTTATAAGCTCTCTACAGTTGACGGCAAACTTTAATGACACAATGCGGGACGTGTTTTTGAATGTAACGCACACCGTTGATGAAAAACTAATGACATGAATACGTTGTTTTGATCTCTCCACAACCCATTTTGATAAACAAATGGATTATTGGACACACTGTCATGATCTACTTCCATTAAAACTCGTTTTACTGTTTGATAAGTCTAGCTTAACTACATACAGCGATAAAATAGAAATTCAATTATGTGATTATTTTGAGACTCAATGCTTTTGCCTGAATATAATAGTAGTGACATACCTAATGTGGATTTGCTACTAGCTAAGAACAGCTGTTTATTTGGCAAAACCATTAATTAAAGTTTGATTGATCTATTCATAAACAATGAAAAAGCCCCTAATTTATCATGATTTAACCGGCAATCTAAAGGTTACTAAGCTAAATCAACTCAGCTGGCTACCCATAGTTCCATAGAAATCGCCCATTTTACCCAAACATTAGTCTTGAATTTTAACTTAAAACTATTCTAATTCCATTGGAGAAGTGTACCCGTAAATTACGAAGTGCTCGAAGTACTAAAACTTATCACAGATAGCTTATTATTTAGAGTAAAGGGAGTGAACAATGTACACTGTACATTGTAGAGTATTTAAATTAGATTAAGGCATAAAGTACGCGCCGGTAAATTATGACTGCAAAAATCATACATTGTGTATCACTATTGCATCGCGTCGGATGCGGGCGCTTTCCAAGTCCCGCTCTGTCATCTACCGCGCCGTGGCCGCCAACATTCAAATTCAACGCCTACATTTGAAGAATATTTTTTTTTGAGCTGACAAAATAAAGACAGTGTGTTTAAGATTTAAAATTTTAAAAAGTCTGCCGTTTTTTAATAAAAAAAAATTAATAAGAGACGAAAATTTTTGAATAACCTTTTTAAATGATAAATTGGTGATTTGGTTTTCTATTATTACCTATTAAAGTGGCCGTTTTGACCTAATTTTAACACACAAAATAACTGGTTCCCGCAATCTTTAACTTTTTCGAAAAATCTTGACTTTTAACTCTCGTTTTACTTTGTCTTACTTTTCGACCAAAAATAAGATATAATAAGTTATGTTGTGGCCAGGAAATCAACTTGGCAGCGTTGATTGATAATAGATCAGCTGTTTCGCTGACCATTGTTGCCATTTTGTTTACAACTACAACGTGAGACATTTGACTTGTAACTTGGAAATTGTTGGGTGGAATAACAATTTATTGTATTTAATCAAATCAGTGCAAATGATGGGAAATATTATTGTAATACTACAAACGGATGGGCTGAATTATTTTGTTAAACCAACAACCAGATAAAAATGTATTAGTGTTATATCTATATTTACAATAAATGTAGGGAATTGGAAAAATGTGGTTTATTCGTGGGCACATTCGCTCTAAACGTTTCTCTCGAGTGCATTTAAGTGCCACTTTGAGCATTAGTTACATATAAATCCTAATTTTCGCACGGTTATTGTATTTTGTATTAAATTTAAAAAACCTTTAATTAAAAAAAAACACTACACGCCACTGGTCTGTGTTGCTTGGAACTAAACAATTCAAACACTCATAAAACTGTGTAAACTTAATAATAATTCCCAAATAAATTCTTTGTAAGTGGCAATATAAATTTCAATGACATTTTCACAGAAATTGAATGCTCTCTTAATTTATAAGTTGTTTTGGTGGATCTAACTCTAAATATTATTTATAAGGATTATCCCATGAAGGCTTTAGACTCATATTTGGTTTAACGACCTGAATAATTGAAATATTATAATGACTGTACTACTTTAATCTAGTTTAAGGACATAAAAACCTTATAGACAAAAGGCGACATTTTTTTTCGCTAATATCAATACGCGTGAAAGTCATTTAAGTATACGGAGTAAAATACCTATATCGATATCAATCTCTAATCTAACCATGCAAATTTAGTATAATAGGTTTTTATACTCTATTTATAAATTAATTTCCTCTCATAAGCGTTGTATAACATAGGTTATATACTACTCAAGAAATAGCGTTTTAAGACTGCATATGCGTTATACTCCTAATATAATAAATACGTTTTTGCTAAACTACACTGTTTTCATAGCCTTTCCACGCATGAAATTAGTCCGGAAAACAGCTGTTTGCCGCCTGCTTAATCAAATGGGGTTTCATAACGTACTACTGGACTGTAATGAGATGTACGGGACACCAGCTGATTATAATTGGCAATAAACGAAAACACAACCTCTCTTAGAGTTTATGAAGAGTGATTTTTAAGTACTTTAGTCGGTGGGAATAATATATAACGGATTTGTACAGCTTTTTAAATTGTTATGTTGCTTTAGTATGGCAAAAGATATCGTACTTTTCACGCCCAAAATGTGTTTAGCGTACTCGTATGGTAATCCCGCATTTTCCGGAATAGTAACGTAATATACTTTTCTTGCCTTTTCTTCTGTGACACATATTCTTACATCTCACATGACTAAAAATCAGATGCCTACACCATAGATTTTTACATCAACAAACCGTAGGGGTTATCAAGTTTACATATGTATTAGAAATTCTTTATGCTTCTGATTTAATGTAGGAATTCACAGTTTAAAACACTTACCGTTAGGATCCGTAGTATAAGGGTGGTATTCTGAAAGTCGTATTCAAGACTGAAATGAATCTGTCCAACATTTTCGGAGGGTTCTGAATTGTCAATGTACATGTCCACCAAAGATATGGATCTGCTTTGGAGGAATGCCATCTGGAACAAAACAAAACAGCTGATGTAACGTTTTTAATATAACAACTAATTCAATATGTGTACATCGATATAACAACTAATGTACAATTTACTATATCTAATCCAATATATATCTTTAATACGTGAAGCCGTTTTTGTGAGCTCTAATCCTTCCTCATTGGTTGACCAATTTCATCGCCTGAGGTGTCAAAAGATTCGTATCAATTTGTAGTTTTGCAATAAGCTTTTAGAACTTAAAAACTCTTATTCTAAAGGGCGTGAGGTGCTCTCAAAGGTCCATTCCCCCCATAAAAACTACATAGAACAAACCCAAAAACAAATAAACAGCTGTTTATGAAAAAGAAACTACAGCTTTTTGGGAGTAAATATGTATGTTTGTAATAGTCAGAAGGTTATAGACTAATAGTCAGAAAAATATAGAATATGACCTTTAAAAAATTGCAAGAAAACGTTTTATGGTTTTATTTTGTAGTGTTGGGTCTGCAGAGTGACATACTAATAGTTTCCAAAAATCGGTCCACAGGAAACCACCTAAAATCACAAAAAAAATTGTGGCTTTTCCCAACATTGGACAAATTTGAAAAAAATATATCACATGCATTTTTATTCAAAAATATTTGAGATATTGACTTGGGACGACCACCGATGTTTATTGGGTGGTTAGTACTTCATTTCGATAGGGAACTATTGGATATGAATTTAAAAAAAAATAAATGTAATGATAAGTTGTGACACATCATTATAAACTAGATTTGCACGCTTATTTCAATGCCGAAATCCGTTTTTAAATATCTGTTTACGTTTTGAAGATATATTCAAATATAATGATGTGTCACAACGTTATCATTACATGTAATTTTTTTATTTATATCCAATATGGCGGATCCAAGATGGCGGCCAAAAATGAGTTCCCTATCGAAATGAAGTACTAACCACCCAATAAACATCGGTGGTCATCCCAAGTCAATATCTCAAAAACTGTGAATATAATATGCATGTGGTATATTTTTTCCAAATTTGTCCAATGTTGGGAAAAGCCGCCATTTTTAATCGTGATTTTAGGATGTTTCCTGTGGACAGATTTTTGGCAACTTTTAGTATGTCACTCTGCAGACCCAACACTAAAAAATAAAACCATAAAACGTTTTCTTGGAATTTTTTAACTTTTCCTGTGTCAGTTTTTTTAGTTTGCTTGGACTACAATGTAAAAACGTTAGTTTTGTATGAAGAACAAAAATGCCCCAAATTCTAAGAAGAAATATTGAAAACAGGAGGAGGAGACAATTAATATGGGATCTTATGCGTATGAGAAGAGTAGAAGAGAGGCCTGGTCTACAGTAAGGAATCAAGATACACCCTCACTTGGAGAGATGAATAATATTGACCAGTTCTGCTATGCAACTTACTTAGGAAGTGAAAAAATACACATCGTGTACGGTGGTAAAGTAAACTTGCCTAATGTCAGATCAAATCAATACATACAAGAAATGTTTACTGGTGACAGCTATGGTAAGTCGGGAAACATTTGTAGAAAACACTAAAAAACAAGGCTAGCCTCTGAAAGATGATAAAATATATTTACAAGAAGTGTTTATTTCAAACGGCAAATGAGTAATTCCATTGAGTAAATGAGCATTTGGTTGAGTCTTTTAAACTGTCGAAGATTATGACTGTTATTAGTTTTAAAATAATTCCCTTAATATACTGGCACTTGACAATTAATTGCTACAGGTAAGACGAATGTAAGTATGGTGTATCAATACAACATTTATTGAATATGTGGGTCAACATAACGGCTTACGTAGCATGCGTGAGTCAGTACAATGTTTAATACGATACAGACTTTGTCAATTTAACAGAAAATGTAACATGTATGTGTCAATATAACAACATTAGTAGACTTTAGAAACTATTGGAAAATGAGTTTTGAAAGATGACCAAACTTTACGATGTTATAAGTGTGTTACGATTGTGGAAAACTTTTGTACGGAAAATGCCAGCTTCTTGACCACTTGTGGGATCAAAGTTAAATACTGATAGTTTTTTCATGATATGGTAAGTAGGTTCATACCTAATTGTACCTTAAACATCCGTTATTACGTTTAATTTTTAGCAGAGGGAGACAGGAGAAAGTTCTTTTCTGAGAAATAGTAATATATACATCCCTCTTTGTGTTTTCTAAATTAATGAACCCTCTGAACCCTCAGGTTAAGGTCGGTCTCGATCCTCAGTACTAAGCAGCTTAATCCATTGGTGGTTGGCGGGGTTCGAATGTGCACCTCTAAGCCAGAAGTCTCGCTTTTTAACCACTAGATATGACGTAAATCTAGGCTGTGATAGAGCAGTGTCCTGATGGTTCCCAAACCACACTGAATTATAGGTTAGATAGTATAGAGCACACCAAGTAAATTTAAGGGGTGTTGTTAATTGACGAGCTTGCAAATTAGAGTTCCGAAAAGATATTTTATCTGGTTGTACATTACAAACAATTTCAATCACAAATTTCCGTGGTTTTATTGAAGAGAATTTTAACATCTAGATGGTTTACTTGCTCAGGAGCTACTAAGTCTCTTCGATATAACCATGTAAATTAAGGTCAATAATCAAAATAAATAAATTAATAAAATAAATTTCAATAATTTGGGTATTCCTCTGAATTAACTTTGTGGGAACCACCTAAAAATAGATGCTTGAAAAATCAAAATGTAAAATCTCTTCCAAAAAAACGAATAAATTAATCTTTAGATTTACCTTGAAATGCAAACTCGCCACCATGGATACACAAACGTCTGCAATAATATATATCTCATTGCAAAGGTACGGGATATGCAGAAAATAACATAGTATCGAGTACCACTTATCTACTAAAAACCAACAGGTGGGGTGAAGAAACAAACGAAGGTAATCAGTAAGCTCATTTAGTGTAAGCGAGGGCTATGTGTTGTCGCACTAAGCCCACCCAGCTAGCACCCGCATTGCCTGCTGCTGCTTCAAGGGAAACCCCCTCTCTCTCTTACTCTCACTGTAAACCTGGTACAAACCATCGTTGAATGGAAATAATAGATATTAGAGAGGTAGGTTAACCGATCGAAACAATTAACATTACTACTATTAATTAACAATCTTTGGAAAAGAGTTGCTCAAATTCAAATACAGTTCCGGTATGATCGAGGCATATGATAAATGACAGTTAACCTCCATCCTACCATGAAGAAGATTCCCATTTTTACCCCAAGCGTGTGTTTGAGAAAATGGTAGTACCAAATTTCCTCTCAATTTTTATTGACCACAGCAACAACAATAATAAAAAAACAAATATTAATATTCCAGTCTACCTCGAGCACAAATTCAATACTTTAGTAATTGCAAACGTGTTGCAAAAGTCCATATTGGACTAAAACGTTGTCAAAGGATATACCCCTGTAGTTGAAATTTCACGCACATTTACACACATTGTTGACTCCTCGGTAATTATTACAGGCCTGTCATCATAACGCCCATTGCTGATCTCCAAAGAAAACTAGCAACTACAAAATAAAAAAGATTCATAGATTATCTATAATTTTGACGTTTCACTAACAAAAAAAAAATAGTAAATGTTACAATAGGGAGTCAACAAGATAACTCTAACAGCTAATTCTCTATAACTGAAGTATACACTTTTTTATTTTCATCGAAGTAGAAAAATGTAGACCGATCACTTAAGTACATACTACATGAAACTGTAGTGGGGTAGTGTCAATATAGATCAATAGTCCAAGAAACTATATTACGAAATAACTGCTAAAATATGATACCGCCGACAACAAATTTTATGATACTATAAAAACAGTAAAAAAGTAAACACAAATTTGTTCTACAGCACAAAAAAATTCTAAGTTTAACTTAAATTTATAGTGATAATTTTGCATTTGCGATATCTATTTGAATTCAATTGTAATTTTTATTTTTCGTTCCAACCACACGAATGTGACAAATCTGACTAAACCGATAATAAGAGAACATGGGGGGGGGGATCTAAAGAAATATAGCAATGTTGTCTACAATTTAGTTTTTCATAATAAAGTTAACCATCATAGTTATGATATAGTTTTCCTTCAATAGCGTTATACAGAATCCAGCTGGAGTTAATTAACGGTTCATCCCCTTAAGAAGGCACAAAAAACAAGTAAACAGACTTTAGTAAACAAGTAAAGAAAGACTTGTTCAAAAGAAGGCAATTGCCGTCGGCCATCTTGTCTATTACAGTCCCTTTAAAACTCCATGTTTTAGGGCTTGGTTTTATAAAAATAGACTGCTTTTACAGAATTTGTGCTCTTAGTGACAATTTAGTGACTTGATGTAGTTTCGTAGTATTTCATAAGTGAAGTAAGTAGTCTTGCATTTTAAGATCCTCTTACCCGTCTATTTGGTTATGATTGAAAGTGATTAAAAAACTCCTACTTACCATCTACAATTTAGTTGCAATCGCAATATAAAGATCCACGATGCAACACTGATTGATATTTTGGGCGAGTCAGTGAGTGAGAAAAAACCTGTCCCTATTGCACTTACAGTTTTTACCTGTGTCTTGACTATCTACAATAACGGGTAGATTAATGCTGCCTTATTAAGAACGTAAATAATGTTATATTGTTTTCTGATCTAAAATTTTCTTGTTTAAAACATCCAAAAAAGTATTTGAACAAAAATGACGAATAGACAGTACGGTTCGTTACCATAATTCTTTGATCAGTTTATGAGTCGATTATTTAAGAACTACGTTCTGATCTTACTGTTTGAAAATTCCTTCAAACTACGATAGCTGTCAATCAATATCAGTAGAACTTCTTAGCAAATATCCCCAACTCATTCGTAGATGCTCATTGCATTTATTAATGGGACACCTTCTAGCATTCTCGAATTTCTTATAGAAAGCTTAATATATGATTTTAAACCAGACGTTCTTATATATAAACCAAATATCAATTACTTTAGTTAATTTTGTGAAATGGCAATTA